CTTAGGGCCTGCTGCTTCTCTCCCACGTTGTTGGAGCTGGGTTTTGGATCACTTAGGTCCAGTTTCTTTGGATTTTAGTAACTGTTCTCAGACGCAGAGGGTGAGCTCAGCAGGGGGGCTTTTGAAAGGGTGGCAGACTTGCTGTGGCAAGAGGAACTTGAGGGAAGAGTTTGCTTTGGCTCACAGTTTGAGGGGGAAAGTGTCATGGTAGAAGTCACGGGTGAGAGCAGCTGGAGGCTTTGGCATCTGGAGCCTGCAAAAAGCCTGGTCACACTGTAGCCAAGGTCAGGAAGGAGAGAGAGGGAGAGAGAGAAAGAGGGAGAGACGGGGGGGGGGGGGGGGGGGGGGGGGAGGGAATACTGACGTTTAGCTCTTTTCCTGGTTTAGGACCTTATTACCCACATTGCAACTCGATCTAGTCCATCGGTTGACACTGATCACATTAGGGAATGTCTTCCTTCCCGACTCAAACCTCTCCAGTAATATATACACAGATAAGCCAGATGTGTGTCTCCTAAGTGATTCCAAGGCCCATCAAACTGAGAATCAAAATGAATCATCACGGCAGGCAGTGGTGGCACACCACCTTTCAATCCTGGCACTCGGGAAGCAAAGGCAGCAGATCTCTGAGTTCAAGGCCAGCCTGGTCTACAGAGCAAGTTCCAGGATAGCCAGGACTACAACATAGAGAAACCTATCTCAAAAAAACAAACAAGCGAATGGTGGGGGTGGGGGGGGACGACACCAACAACAAAAAACAGAATTAACCATCACAAGGAGACAGCTCCTGGTATTTTATTCAAGCCATTTATTTGGAACTCTTCTCCTGTGTCTTTGCAAAGAAAAAGAGAAGTTGAGTCAACTTTTCATTCTAGTTGGGGGTATACAGCTCAGTGATAGAATGTGTGCTAACCGGTCCGGGCGGTGGTGGCGCACGTCTTTAATCCCAGCACTCGGCACTCGGGAAGCAGAGCCAGGCGGGGTCTCGAAAAACCAAAAAAAAAAAAAAAAAAAGAATGTGTGCTAACCATGCGGGGAGCCCCTATATCAATACCCAATCTACACCCTCCTCCCCCTCCCAAGAACCGCTCCTTCTTCCTTCTTACGTGTAAGAGCAGCAGGGCTGCTAGTGTGAGACAGTGTGGTGACAGGCACTGTTTGATTCTCAGATGTGTTTCACTGTAGGAAGGCATGTACTCTCTGCCACGGGATAAAGGTATGGGCCCGCTTACCGGAAGTCTCACCTGACTCAGGGACAATAGCAGGGTCTTCTGAGAGGCCTGTCTATTTTTGACACTCCACTCACACCCAGCAGCATCTCTCACAAGAGAACCTTAGAGTCCCAATATTCCAGAGGGACAAACCATTAAGTACCATCTTTCACTGTCTTCCAAAAGGAAACTTCACAGCAGAACCAGCAATCACTTCCCTTAATAGAGTGATGCATGTCTGTCTTCCCAGTGCTCCGGAGCCTGAGGCAAGAGGCTGGCAAGTTCAAAACTAGATTGAGCTGCTTGGTGAGGCCCTTATATCAAAACACCACAGGCTAAGGATATGGCTCACTGATAAAGCACGTGTCTAGTGTTTGAAAGGTCCTGGGTTCCATTCTCAACAATGACAACAACAACAACAACACACATACACACACACACACACACACACACACACACACACACACACACACACATACACACACAACTCTAATTCCAACAGTAGGGAGCCTGAAGCAGGGGATCTTTTAGTTAGGAAACCATCCCAGACTACATTCTCAACAACAAGAAATTCCAACAACCACACCTCGTTGCCAAGATTAGAAACTTGTGGTTTTCTTGTCCCTTTTTTTAAATTATTTTTCAAAAACTTATTTTACAATGAATAGGGTACCTATTTGTTTCCTAATATGTAAAATGGGGGTGGCCCCTACCTTCCTGTTACTTGAAAGTGACACCACATGCTGATGTCACCAGGCTCGGATATAGTTTGGGTAAGTCCCCAAACCTCAGGCCTATTCTGCTATCTGGGTTCACACACCTACACTACACTGGCATGATTTGGGAGTAAGACCTTAAAATAAGCCATAATTATTCATTTTTAAAAAATACCTTCTGAGGGTCAGCTCTCCTCACTCTCGTATTTGTCGGTAGTATCTTGTGTTTGGGGAGAAGAAGAGGGTAGCTTCTGACAGAATAATGTAAAAGGTGGTCAAACCCTAGGAAATCTGCCCAAGAGTCTTCCTCCAGGAGAAGGCCACCCCTGTCACATACGCTGAGGACCTTGTCTGTTGATCGGAAGCCATTAAGAATTTTCTGCGTGGCCGGGCAGTGGTGGTACACGCCTTTAATCCCAGCACTCTGAGAGGCAGAAGTAGGCAGATCTCTGTGAGTTTGAGGTCAGCCTGGTCTACAGAGCAAGTTCCAGGACAGCCAAGGCTGTTACATGGAGAAACCCTGTCTCTAAAAACTGGGGGGGGGGGGGGGGGGTGGAAGAATTTTCTGTGTGATGCTAAGACATTCACAACCACTGAAGGTTGTACAAAATTTCTTTGTATAATACCCTTCTTCTCCTCCTTCTCCTCCTTCTTCTTCCTCTTTTTTCTTCCTTCTCCTCCTTCTTCTTGACAGAATCTCACTATGTAGCTCTGGCTATCCTGGAACCCACTCTGTAGACCAGACTGGCCTTGAACTAAGAAATCCACCCTCTTCTGCCTCCCAAGTTCTGGGATTAAATGTGTACACCACCATGCCCAACTTATACCCCATTTTTAAAATGAGTAATTTGTTTTTTTTATATCTAGTTTTTCAGTTCCTTACATTTTAGATAGTAGCTCTTTTTTTCCCCCCCAGAGCTGAGAACCGAACCCAGGGCCTTGCACTTGATAGGCAAGTGCTCTACCACTGAGCTAAATCCCCAACCCCTAGATAGTAGCTCTTGATCAGATATATAGTTGGTAAAAAATCTTTTTCCATTCTGTAGACTGCTACTTTGTCCTAATGATGCCGTCCTTTGCCATCCAGAAGCTTTTGTGTTTCCTGAGGTCCCATTTATTGATCTGCATGCCCCTGCCTCTCGAGCACTGGGATTAAAGACATGGACCACCATACCTCACCTGGCCCAGAACTTCCTTCCATACAACAGACTAACCTAGACCTCAGAGATCCTCTTGCCTCTGCCTCCCAGGACTGGGATTAGAGGCACTCATCACCATACCTGGCTAAAATTTCAACCTTTTAATAAATTAATCCTCTAAAATATTTTGGCAGTCACTGGGCGTGGTGGTGCATGCCTTTAATCCTAGCACTTGAGGGCAGAGAGAGGCAGAAGGATCTCTGTGAGTTCAAGGCTGGCCTGGTCTACAGAGTGAATTCCAGGATAGCCAGTGCTATTACATAGAGAAACTGTCTCGAAAAAACAAAAATACAAACAAAACAAAACAAAATTTGGCAGAGGATTCTCAGTCTTCCTCTGTACTAACAAAACATCAGGCCATTGGTCACCCACCCCATTTATTGCAAGTAATAAGCACGGAGCTGAGGATCAGCTCACAGAGAACATAAAAGCAGGGTGTGGGGGCTCAAGATTCAGTTCAGTTGCTAGAGAGCTTACGTAATATGCCCCACCTGGATTCCATCCTCATCATGGTATTAAAAATCCCGGTGCGGTGGGATATATCCCGCGATACTGAGGGTTGGGGATTTAGCTCAGTGGTGGAGCACTTGCCTAGCAAGCGCAAGGCCCTGGGTTCAATCCTCAGCTCCAAGGAAAAAGAAAAAAAAAAGTGTATCATAAGGAAAAAAGAAAAAAAGAAGAGTGCATCATATCCTGCGATACTGAGGACTTGTGTGAAGAAGGAGGAGGAAGAGGAAGAAGAAGGAGCAAAAAACTGGGTGAGTTTCTGGCTAGCAAACGTAAAATCTAAAATCCCTTGCACAGTATAGAACTGTCCTGCTTTGACACTCGCAGTTTAGAACATGACAAATGTGTGAAACACGGGGGCTAAAGCTTGTACTAGTGCTTTTTGGTTCTGTTAGGATTTTTTTTTTCACATGTTTACCTGTGAATTATTCACTTTTCCCATCCACAACTAGGGCTTTCCCTTGGGTGACTGTAGTAGTGATGGGTTCGTTTTCGACACCTCAATGCAATTGAGTAGCTACCTCTGAGCCACTTTTTCCTTAGTAATTTCTCTTCCTTTTGGCTCCTTTGCAGTCTGAAAGAGTCATTAAAAGGTGCCCTGGAAACTTATCTGAGGCAGCGGAGCGCCTACCCTGGAAACCCCGCGGGCAAAAGCCCTGCCCCCACCCGACCTCCGCCCTCGTTGGCTTCCCAAAGCCGGGATCTCAGTGGCCAGTAGAGGGCACACTTACTTTACTTTCGCAAACCAGAAAGCCCGTGCAGCCCCGGGGAGAGGAAGGGGGAAAGAGTCTTTGCAGCTAAATGCAGCCTAGGGATTGGCGGCTCTTGGCGTTTGAGGCAAAATCCTAGAGGCTGTAGTCATTTTGCAATCCTTAAAGCTGAATTGTGCAATGAGCTCGATCTGGAGGAAGATACTATCATTTAACAGCTGAACCCTGAGTTGCAAACTCAATGGATAATAACTACCTTGAACAATGTGCACACTATACACTCTATACAGTAGTTTTTTTCTTCTTCTTTTTTAAGGGGATATCAGTGGGAGGTTTCTTAAAATGCCTTGGAGTGAAGAGTCATGAATGAGATTACTTCGGGTTTTGATGCTGTGGGATAAGAAAATCCCAAGGGAATTTTTCATTATATAATAAACCTAGAGCAGAGTAAAAGACTCATGTTTCAAATTGGTTAGTAGGCTAGGTTATCATATATATGCATATGCATATCTATGAAGTGTGTATGTGTTTGAGGATTGTATGTAATGCACAGCAATGTATTCAGGGGAAAAGTAAACTGGGAAATTAATGTATAAATTAAGTCAGCTTTTAATTAGCTCAAGCCACACACAGACATAAATAAAAACTCAAAAACGTAACATTTCTTTGATCAGATCGGCGCCGGCTTTCTTTTTTTAAGTGCCTAATTACAATTCCAGTAATAAAGAGGAAAGAAAGACTTGGGTTTGTTCGGGGAGGAAGGGGTTAACAGTTTCCTTTATTTTAGGGTCTTCACAGGCTCCCCAGATCCAGATCCGAGTTGGCAAGTTCTACTCCTCCCCCTTTCTGGGAAGTCCGGGTGTCCCTCCTAGCCACCCACCCACTGTGTATTCTCGCGTCTAGCGCCTTGATTTCCCCCAACCTCTAAGCCGGAGTCTGGTGCAACTTGGCTCCACAGGGGCAAAGAGGATTTGCCTCTTGTGAAAGCTGGCTGTGGAATAGGAACTCTGAGTGAGCGCGGGTGGGATGGGGTGCAGACCGGCAGAGACTCGACCTAGAGGATCCGGGTGGAGCGCACCCACCACCGCTCCCCTACTGTACTCCAGCTCTGGAATGCGCAGGGAGACCTACATGGTTAGATTGAACTGGGGGAACAACCGCCTCCCACCCCTCTGCCTGGTGGAAGTCGGAGCCAGAGGTGCTGGAGTGTGTGTGTGTGTGTGTGTGTGTGTGTGTGTGTGTGTGTGTGTGTTTTTTAATAGCAAATTGGGGGATCCATTCTGGAAAGAATGTATCCAGTCAACATAGCTGTACGTCCAAAATGCATAATGCCCTCCCCAAAAGATGCAGTGGGTGTTTATTTATAAGTGGCTCTCCAAGTATACGTGGCAGTGCGTTGCTGGGCAATTTTAATAATTCCAGGCATCGTTTTCCTCTGTAGACCTTGTCTGTCATTGATTCCCATCTAACACTGCACACACTGAACAGGGGCTCATAGATAACCCATTCTTTCTTCCTTCCCTTTTCTAAATTCTGTTTTCCCAACCTTAAGAGAGGCGCCTGGCCGCCCGGGACGTGCGTGACGCGGCCCAGGGTACAAGGCGTATTGTGCCGAGCTAGGCAGCTGTTCCACCTGCGGTGTCTGAAACACGCAGGACAAGAACATAGTTCACCAGGAGCGGTGCGCCCAAAGAACAGTACGGAAAGGGAAAGGACGTGCGCCCCAGCAAGAGAAAATGGTCGGGCGCGCTGTTAATTCATGCTGCGCTTTACTGTTTACTCCCCAGGAACTGGAGTACTGGGCTGCAGGGTTGAGGCTCCTCCTCTTTCCCTGGCTCCCCACTAGCGCCCCTCTCGGGTTCCCAAAGCAGAGAGCGGGGGGGTGGGAGGGAGAGAGAGAGTCTTTGGCGGATCCCCGCCCACCAGCCCTTTATAATCCCGGGGTCTACGCGGCCGAGGACCCCTGGGCTGCCCTGCTCTCGGCCGCCGCCGCCGCCGCGCCCCACTCTGCTCCCCCCTCCCTGCCTCTAGAAGGGCAGGGCTTCGCCGAGGCTTGGCGGGAAAAAGAGCCGAGTGGGAGGGATCCTGAGAGTCGCAGTATAAAAGAAGCTTTTCGGGGCGTTTTTTCTGACTCGCTGTAGTAATTCCAGCGAGAGACAGAGGGAGTGAGCGGGCGGGTTGGAAGAGCACAGTGAGCAGAGCCGCGCTCCGGGCGTCCTGGGAAGGCAGCTTGGGGAGTGAGAGGGGCTTTGCCTCCGGGCCTGCCGCCCCGCGCCCCAACCCTCCGGCTGACCTAGCACCAGAGATCGCAACCCTCGCCCCATCTGGGAAACTTTGCCCATTGCAGCGGGAGGACACTTTTGCACTGGAACTTACAATCTGCGAGTGAGGATAGGACTCCCCAGGCGCCGGGGAGGAAATTTTTGTCTATTTGGGGACAGTGTTCTCTGCCTCTGCCCGCGATCTGCTCCCCTGAAAGGAGCTCCTAAGCGCTCTTTGAAGGCTGGATATCCTTTGGGCGGTGGAAAACCCGGTAAGCACGGATCTGCTGGTCTTCTCTTGTATTTTCTCTGCGTCTTGAATGCAGCGGCTGCTTGTCAGGGTAGTCTTTCTTCCATTCCTGTGCTTTTGACACTTTTCGCAGAGTAGTTGGGGTAGGCCGGGGTGGAGCTGGGGTGAATCCGAGTCTGGGTAGAGAGACTTGTCAAGATGACAGCGGAAAGGGGAAAGGAAAAACCGGGGTGCCTTTTGAAATTGGGTTCCAGAGGTTACTCTGAGTTGACACTGACTCTGTCCTGTTGGACATTATTGCTTTACTACATTAATTGCTATTTGTGTCCTTTGGGGGGTTGGACCCGGAGGTCGCTTCTCCCTGGACAGAAAGTCCTTCGTATCCTGAGGTCTTTGGAGAAGGCTTTACCTTTTGCGTGTGGGATAGAGAAGGCTCGGCAGCCTCTGACTTTTCCCAGTCTCTGGGAGGGCATTTAAATTTCGGCGTAGTCCATTTCTGACAGCCGGAGACCGACTCAGATGTGCGTCCCGCCCGCCAATCCCCGGCGGCGATTCCAACTTGCCCCTGTTCCTTTTAAGAAGTTGCCATTTGGCTTTAAAAATAGTGATAATAGTAAAATTTCAACCTGACCTCCACGGTATTAGGACTTGGTGCTGGGCTAGCGCAGTGACGGAAGGCAAAACTGGGGCAGGGATGTGACCGATTCGTTGGGGGAAACCAGGGGGAAATCCTCACATTCCGGATTGGGATCCGCGGGTATCCCCGCGCCCCTGAATTGCTAGGAAGACTGCGGTGAATCGTGATCTGGGCTGTTCCGTAACAGCTGCTACCCTCGGCGGGAGAGGGAAGACGCCCCGCTCAGGGTGCTGAATCGCTGCGGGGTCTCTGGCGCAGTGGCGTCGCGGTATAGAGTGTAGAAGGGAGGTGTCCCTGTTATTATTTGACACCCCCTCCCCTTTTATTTGGCGAGGCTTGTTAAAGCGGGAGGCTGAGCTCGCCCCTCTAAGCCAGCAATCGGAAAGAAAAGCCGGCAGAGGAAGGAAGGGGGGCGCGCTGGGGGTGGAGAAAGAGGAGGGCGGAGAGGGGCGGCGGCGCCGGCTGGGTAGGAGCGCAGCGACGGCGCAAGTGGGGACCCGGACCGGGTTGGCGGCGCAGAGAGCTGGTGCGGGAGGGAGCCTAGCACCGCGGCGCCTCTCCCCTTTCTCCTTCAGGTGGCGCAAAACTTTGCGCCTTGGCTTTTGGCAGGCTGTATTCCCTACAGTCGCCTCCCTCAGCCTCTCAAGGAGGCCAAGGCCTATGGCGATTCCTGGGCGTCTGCAGGGCTAAGTCCCTGCTCCAAGGAGGCGGGGACTCGGAGCAGCTGCTAGTCCGATGTGCGTTGAGATAGTAGGGAGTGAAAGAGCGCTTCCCCCCAACACACATACACACACACACACGCGCGCGCACACACACACACACTTGGAAGGACAGCACACTGGAAGGGGAGTGGTTCAGGATTGGGGTACGCGCTGCGCCAGGTTTCTGCATCAACCAGAGCTGGGTAACTCTAGCCTTGCCTCCCCCTTCTGTGCCCCCTCTAGCAGACAGCCGCCACGATGCCCCTCAACGTGAGCTTCGCCAACAGGAACTATGACCTCGACTACGACTCGGTGCAGCCCTATTTCATCTGCGACGAGGAAGAGAATTTCTATCACCAGCAACAGCAGAGCGAGCTGCAGCCGCCCGCGCCCAGCGAGGATATCTGGAAGAAATTCGAGCTGCTGCCCACCCCGCCCCTGTCCCCCAGTCGCCGCTCGGGGCTCTGCTCTCCATCCTATGTTGCGGTCGCTGCGTCCTTCTCCCCAAGGGAGGACGACGACGGTGGCGGCGGCAACTTCTCCACCGCCGATCAGCTGGAGATGGTGACCGAGCTGCTTGGAGGAGACATGGTGAACCAGAGCTTCATCTGCGATCCTGACGACGAGACCTTCATCAAGAACATCATCATCCAGGACTGTATGTGGAGCGGCTTCTCCGCCGCCGCCAAGCTGGTCTCGGAGAAGCTGGCTTCCTACCAGGCTGCGCGCAAAGACAGCGCCAGCCCGAGCCCCGCCCGCGGGCACAGCGGCTGCTCCACCTCTAGCCTGTACCTGCAGGACCTCACCGCCGCCGCGTCCGAGTGCATTGACCCTTCGGTGGTCTTCCCCTACCCGCTCAACGACAGCAGCTCGCCCAAGTCCTGTACCTCGTCCGACTCCACAGCCTTCTCTCCTTCCTCGGACTCGCTGCTGTCCTCCGAGTCCTCCCCACAGGCTAGCCCCGAGCCCCTAGTGCTGCATGAGGAGACACCGCCCACCACCAGCAGCGACTCTGGTAAGCGGGCCCCCTTGTGAGCAGCACAGAACCGGAGAGGTTGGATAGACCTCCTTCTCCACTGCTCATTGGCATTAATTCAATTGACCCCTGGGCTCACCCCGTCTTTCCCTTCTCTGTCTAAGGGCTCTTCATCCCTGGATTCCTGTGCTTCAGCGATTCCCTCCCTCCCCTTCCCCCCAGACCGCCCTGGTTGTCAGCCTCTTTCCCCCCCCCCCCCCCCCCCCCCGCCCTTCCCACCCCTCAGGAATTTCATTTGGGTTTTTAAATCTTCTGGCTTATCTTTCAACTCAATCCACTCCCTTTTACCTCTCCTAAGCATTTTAATTACCCTGGGAAGGGTGTGAATGAGGATAAAAGAGAATTACCTGCTTCTTCTCTTGACTTCCGGAAAAAATATTTGAATTTTAATGGATAAGTTTATACAAGACCCAAGTGAAGCCACAGCTGAAGCTGGACACCCTTTAGTCTCAGTGCCAGGCGCTGGTGAAAGTTCCTAAAGACTTGAGATGGTCATTTTTTTTTTCATCCTGTTTTGAACACTTCAAAGCCAATCCTGCCCAATTTGGATTTCTTTTTTTTTTTCTCCCCCCTCCCACACCCCTACCAGGACGTTTGGCAAAGCTGCAAGACTTTTTTTAATTATTGTGCTGACGGTAAAATAGGGAGTTGCTAAAGTCATACCAAGAGATTTGCAGCTCTCACTCACAGCACCTGAAGGGTTCTTGGTAAAGTCCCTTAAAAATAGGAGGTGCTTGGGAATATGCTTTGCTTTGGGTGTGTCTGAAGCCTCATTAAGTCTTAGGTAAGAATTGGCATGGATGCCATATCCTGGTACATGGTAATTTTCTCACCTGTGCCCTAACCCTGTTCTCCTTCCTTTCTGGGGAGAAGGGGTAATGGTGTCTAGATCTGGGTTCTTACTTTCTTCAGCATCTTTTGTGACAAATCAGTATTTGGTATTTGCATAGCATTGGTGAAATCCTATATAGTGGCTGGGTTTAAGGAGGCATTACTAACAGTGCTCTTCCACTTCCTTCCTTCAGAGGAAGAACAAGAAGATGAAGAAATTGATGTGGTGTCTGTGGAAAAGAGGCAGCCCCCTGCTAAGAGGTCCGAATCAGGGTCATCCCCATCAGGAGGCCACAGCAAACCTCCACACAGCCCACTGGTCCTCAAGAGGTGCCATGTCTCCACTCATCAGCACAATTATGCAGCGTCCCCCTCCACGAGGAAGGACTATCCAGCTGCCAAGAGGGCCAAGTTGGACAGTGGCAGGGTCCTGAAACAGATCAGCAACAACCGCAAATGTGCCAGCCCCAGGTCCTCAGACACCGAGGAGAACGACAAGAGGCGGACACACAACGTCTTGGAACGTCAGCGGAGAAACGAGCTCAAGCGCAGCTTTTTTGCCCTGCGTGACCAGATCCCGGAGTTGGAAAACAATGAAAAGGCCCCCAAGGTAGTTATCCTCAAAAAAGCCACCGCCTACATCCTGTCCATCCAAGCGGAGGAACACAAGCTCATCTCAGAAAAGGACTTACTGAGGAAGCGGCGAGAACAGTTGAAACACAAACTCGAGCAGCTTCGAAACTCTGGTGCGTGAACTGACCTCGCGCGCCGCGAGGAGGAGCTGGGATCGCTCGTGTATTCTCACTCCTTACTCAGGGAGAGTAAGGAGAACGGTTCCTTCTCTTAGAACTGATGCGCTGGACTTGAAATGCATGCTCAAAGCCTAACCTCACAACCTTGGCTGGGGCTTTGGGACTGTAAGCTTCAGCCATAATGTTAACTGCCTCAAACTCTAGGCATAAAAGAACTTTTTTTTATGCTTCCCATCTTTTTTCTTTTCCTTTAACAGATTTGTATTTAATTGTTTTTAAGAAAAAAAAATCTTAAAGTTTACCCACTTTTCCCATGTACATAGGGCCCTTAAATGTAAATAACTTTAATAAAACGTTTATAACAGTTATACAAGATTTTAAGACATGTATTATAAACCATAATTTTTTTTATTTAAATACATTTTCATTTTTAAAGTTGATTTTTTTCTATTGTTTTTAGAAAAAAATAAAATAATTGGAAAAAATATAACTGAGCCAACTCCTACGTTGTGTTTTGTTTCCTCTCCCTCTTGATTTTCTCTTCCTCAATTACAGATTAACAGAATTCGACCATTTTCACAAGGTGGGTTGACAAAGATGGGAAGAGTTAGCGAAAGAAAGGCAAGGGGTTTTCATTGTTAAAATGGGGTTGGGGGCCTCAAGGCCTTTAAATTCTCAGGGTTAGGAGACACTTCCTACAAATGGTGATAAGAACCAGAGTTGATAGTTAGGAAAGGGCAAAAGGCAGGTGAGAAGGTTAGATGCAGGAGAAGGAGAAGCAAGAGGTTAAAAGATAACAGTTAAATATACAGAGAGGGAAGGGATGGCAAAATCCCCTGCAGTTAACTGAAGCCATTCCCCCTGTTCACTTCAAGCCAGGGACTCTGCCCTGCAGAAGAGCCGATGGGGGAAGGGAGGGAGCCACCTCTTACTCTTTGCTTATGGCTCCCAGGTTGCGGCAGTCCCTTCCCCTCACTTATCTCCTAAGCCTCAGAAGAACTTGAGGAAGAATACTACCACTGCTAGGCTTAACCTGGTTTCCAGAACAAAGTATAAAGGTTCAGAGAGGGGTGTCCAGCTCAATGCGTGATGACCCAGAACAAAAATCAGAAGGCATGCTGCCACACCTTGGTACACCACACATCTGGGTGTCCTTAGCTGGGGAAAGCTGCTGGTTAGGGGCCTGAGAATGAACTCCACTTGGACCATGCACTGTTCTGAGCTTTGACTTAGAAGTCTAAGGTAGTGCCATAAAAGAGGTACTGGGATATCCTCATACTATACAGATAGAAACAAACATGAAATGACCCATCTGTGCACCCAAGGGATTCAGCATCAATTAACACTTAGTTTATCCAGTAAGAATAACCCTGCTACCTATGAGAACAGGAGTCATTTAAGTTTCAGTATTCAGACCTATTCAGGCATCAGTTCCTCTCTTTTTGTTGGTGGGTTTTCTGAGGTTTTGTGGGGATTTTGGGGGGTGGGGTGGGGGTTATGTTGTTGACTGTTACTTAGTCTTTTACTCTGAGAATCACATAGCTCGTTCACCTTGGTCTTACCCATTTTTTTTTTAACACATCAGAAACCTGCTTGCCCCTGGGAAGAAGCCAGTTTGGAAAGGCTACTGTTCAGATCATAAAATAAAACATACTTAGGCTTTGTCATGTGAGTCATTATTTTAGAAATTGCAAGCTCTCCTTCCTCCCAAGCACTTTCACACACTCATGACACATGCTCATCATTAGTCCATGAGAAGGCATGTTTGAATGGGTGTCTTATTAATTATAAGTCTCTGAAAACCCACAGACCAAGCTAGAAACTGGAACACATCAGGAGAGGCCACAGGAAGGTACCCTAAGCATTCTAAATGACTTCGTTGTCTCAGAGAAGGTCTCTAGCATCCTGGAGTGTCTTTGGGACTTGAATCTACCATCACTCATAAACCAATAAGTAATCCTGTCTTTGGCCTCCTAAAATAAATCAATTCAAGCATTTAATGTTCAGTTTTTTTTATCTTTCTTTTGGAATCTTTTAAACCCACCCTCAGCTTCAAACTGTCAAACCCTCTCTCCTAAATTCAAAGGAAAAGACAAAACCCAGACATTGAATAGTTCAAAGGGTAACAAAAGTGGGGGTACTCTTAAACAGTTCCCTCTTTGCCCCTTTGTGGCTCTAGACTGGAGTGCAGCCCTGGCATGACTCACTGGAGAACTGGGAAGATGGTAGGTGAATCACTACGTCTAGGCAAGCCCAAGGAATGGGAGAGCAGTCCTCGTTAGGAAAACAACTCCCTGTTCCAAATGATCAGGAAACAAGCTTAAGGATTTAGAGTTTGCCTGTGGGGGAAGGAAGGGAAGTATCCCAGGTGCCTATCAGGGTACCTCTCAGCTTTACCACGCCAGGGAATGAGCTGAAAAACAGGACATCAGCCAGCTTCCTTCCAGAAAGTCAGGAAAGCTCTCATAGCCAGTCTGGATTCCCAGGGGTCTGGGACATTGTGCAATCAAATTAGTACGTAGTAATCAACATGAAGGGTGAAGGGGGAGGAGCTTTCGACTCAGCCTGGATTATGCAAAATTTAGCTAATCTCCGTCATTTGGCCAGGACATTGGGATTGAGGGCTCCCCCAGAGGATTCCTGGGATGGTGTTGTTCAGGGATAGACTGGACAAGGAAGAAGGAAGGGCTGTTTCATGCTGCCATTTGGGGGCAACATTGGAGACCAACATTAAAAAGCAGTCAATCCAATTTGAAGATGAACAAAGTTTTCACAACCCCAGAACAGGACTTGGATCATTCCAAGCTTGGATATGTAAGCAGAGTCCTCTGCTGGTCTTTAAGACGAACTTTGGCACCAAGTTTGGAAAAGAGGACCAAAAAAAAAAGTGAGGGGATTTTTCTGTGGCTTGTTTACAATAACCAATGACTCATTCAGTTAATAATTTTTTAGCATGACTGTTAAGGGACCCTGAAGCATTTCTTCCCTACAAAAACTAATCCTTAGGTTATAACATGCTGGAAGATGGTCCTCAAGCCTGTCTGTAAATATACCACTAGGTACCTTGGGGGAACAAATGTTTCACTTAAGGTTAGAGAGCACTCTAGGTCTATTTCAAAGGAGGGGAATGTAGAAGTAAAGTTTCAAACGGGACAAGAGCAGGGGCTTATTTTAAACAATGAAGCCTGGACTGTGGTTGTCTTTCATTGAAAAGACGCTTACTTGGCATGTATAAGGACCCATGCTTGATCCCCAACACTACAAAAATAAATAAAACTAGACTAAAAGGATATCCCTACTCATTACCAGACTCTTAGCAAATTTTTGTTGTTGTTGTTCAATCTCTTTGCGGAGAAATGCAACAAACCGCCAGTTTAGGGACAACACCCAGTGACCGAGGCTTTGCCAAGCTGGTGTAAGTTGACTAAATGACTGAGTGGATTTCCCTTTTGAGTTTTATTTCACTCACTCTTAGGCTACACTAAGCTCTTTAGGAAGACAGGGTTGAGGAGAACAAGTGTTAATGGGATGTAGATCTTCTGAGGCTGAAAAGAATGTCCTTTGTTCCTAAACAATGCCTAGGGGCTCCACCACAACCCCCAACACTCTCTTCCAGTTATCCCCACAGCATCCCATTAAAGGCTGAACTCTCCAGTGCAGCCAGAGGTCTGTAGAGTTGGCGACTGGGAGCTCTAGGGAAAGCTATGTTAGAATACACCTGCTGTCTGCAGGACCCCACAACCAACTCAGCTGGAGGACAGTTATTGAATGTGACAATACTGAAGTTTATACACAGACATATTAAATTGCTAGCCCAAAGTCACATAATCACTAGCAATAATAGCAATCAATGTTTACTGTGTGCTAAAAATTTGACATACATTATCTCATTTTATTTCTAAAGCATCTCCTTTTGTTTGTTTGTTTGTTCATTTGGTTGGTTGGTTTGGTTTGGGTTTTGGTTTTTTGAGACAAGGTTTCTCTGTGTATCCCTGGCTGTCCTGGAACTTGCTCTTTAGACGAGGCTGGCCTCGAACTCAGTGAACTTCTGTCTCCCAAGTGCTAGGATTAAAAGCATGCACTATTATGCCCAGTTTATCTCAAAACAACACTTAGGAAGTAAATTCTGTTTCTTTCTTTGGGGGGAAAGGGTCTCACTATGTGGCCCTGACTGGTCTAGAACTGAGAGAGCTACCTACCTCTCCCTGCTGAGTACTGGGTTTAAAGGCGTATGCCTCCCGACCCAGCAGTGAGTTCTATTTGTAAAGCCCTTGTTGTACACAAGACCAAGACTGGGAGCTGTTGATTTGCCTGCATTCACAAAACTGAAAAACAATGAGAGCAGATATCATTTAGATTATTTATTTGATCGTACATATTTGAGTCCCTACTACGCATTCATACTGTGCATGTGTGTGTATTGAGGGATGGGGGGATAATAATAAATAAGCCATAGCAGGTCCTGCCCCAGGTATTTGTAATCTGGCTGTGAACAAATAAAGCAACAAACACGGAGGCGCTAAGTCAGTTTATTGCCTTTTTCAATATGCTATTTTTAATTTATTGCACTGGGGGTAGACTCTAGGGCCTCGTGCATGCTAGGTAAGTGCTCTATGATGAGTAACATCTCCAGAGACTGTGGAATTTTTTTATTAAAAGTTTCAGGGCACTTCGATGGAGTAGGTGGGAGTTCAAGTCCTGGGAACATGGAGTGAGGACAGAGTCTGGGAAGTTTTGAGAAAGAAGCTAAAGGAAAGGCATCAAGAGCAGATTGCAGGGAAGCCCAAGTGAGGGAGAGCGAATGCCAGAAGGATGCTTTGCTATTTGAACTGTATCTAAGGCAGCAAGAGGTACAGCGAGGATCCACTGGATTAGGCAAGAGGATGCTTCTCCAGGCCACTCCTTCTGTCTCCATCCACCCAACCACTATCCTCCTGCTCCTTCATCTGCTTGAGACAACAGCCTATAGTTAGGTAATTAGCTGTCCCAGCACCCAGCCCTCCTGCAGTACTTTGGTTTTTGTTTGTTTGTTTTTTGAAACAGGATCTCACTATGCAGGCCAGGCTGGCCTCAAACTCTAGAACCTCCTGCCTCAGCCCGTTGAGTGCTGGGATTGGTTTCAGTATTTTCTCCAGGAATTCCCACTGTATGGTTCTCAGATGCAAAGACAGTCATATTCTCAGTTAAAATCCTATTTTTGCTTTGTTTTGTTTTGTCGTGTTTTGGTATGTGGTTTTGTTTTTGTTTTGAGATAGAGTACCATATTGCCAAGAATGGACTTGAACTCACTGCAACCGAGGAGAAATTCAAACAGCAGGAGCTTCTACCATCTCCCAAGTGCTAGGATTACTGACATTCTACGCCAACTCTCACAGAAAATGTTCTAACGAGCCCTAGGACTTGATGA